AAAAAAAATCAGTTTCACATATGTATGAATTTATTTCTGTACTATTATATACCATTGATAAATTTGCTGTCTTTGTAGTAATACCATACTGTTTTTAATTATGAATCTTTATAATAAGTCATGACATCAGATACATTAATTCCAAGTTCATCTTTCTAAAAGTTGTTTGGTTATTCAAGATTCTTTTCTTTTCTGCACATAGAATCACATTGTCAATTTCTGTCTCAACAAAGTCCTACTGGGACGTTGACTGGAATGATCTTGAACACACAATCAATTTGGGGGTGTGGTTTAAGCCAACCTTGAATTCCTAAAATAAACCCTACTTGGTGAGATACAGTATCATCCTTATAACTTATTACTGGATTCTATTTAGTTAGTAATTTTTATATCTATGTTCATGAAGGATATTGGTCTGTGGTTTCTTGTGGTATCTTTAATTCGGTTTTGCGATCAGAGTAATGGAGACTTTATAGAACAATATGAGAAGTATCTTTCCTCTGGAAGCTTTTGTGTCAGACTGGCATTTTTTTCTCCCTTAACAACTTAGCAGAATTCACAGTGAGTCCATATGGACCTGGAGTTATTTTGTGGGAAGGTTTTTTTTTTTCTTTTTCTCAAAGATTTATTTATATATGCATACAGAACTGGGTTACAGGCCAGAGGTGCGGGGATGGTGAGAGGATTCACCACACACAGAGCGGGGAGCAGAACAGACACATAGATGAGGTACACTGCTGAGGGGAGCAGCGGGAGGGTCAGGAGAGGTCTGCCACGCCATGAGGTCACCTCCGGGGCAGGCGGGGATCGAACTCATGCGGAAGTGGCTTTAGCTCTTAGTGCTGTGCTTTAACCCGCTGCGCCACCAGGGAGGACCTGTGGGAAGGTTTTTAACTGCACATTCAATTTCTTTCATTGGTGTAGGACCATCCAGTTTATCTGCTTCTCATGAGATGAGCTTTTAGTGCTTTGTGCCTTGTGGGGTATTTGTCCATTTCATCCAAGTTGTCAGATTTATTGGCATAAACTTCTTCATAATATCCTCCGATTGTCACATTCTGTCTCGGGGAGAAACACATTGGCTTTGCCCACGCAAACACGCCGCTTCCACTCCAGGCAAGCAGCCCTGCACCAGCCACCTAATACCTGACTGCAGAGACTGCAGGCATGCTGGACATCCCGGCCACCAGATTGGTACGTGGTAAGCAGCTCCTGCTTTGTTTTCCTCCTGAGCCACTGACTGGGTCTGACTCTGAGACCTGGCTTCGCCTGAAGGACAGGCCCAGCTACAATTCATGGCCAGTGTTACAGAAGTCTCTAGACAGGGAGTGCGCTCCAGGTGAAGGCATCATCGTGGGGAGGACGATCCATGGTGACTTCTGAGATGGGCTGGATGAGCCATGTGATTGGCTGTGAGCACCCTGAACCCCCTGGAGTCAGGATACCCCACCGAACGGGCAGGCCATGTGGTTCATGCCACCCCAAAACACGTCTCTGGCCAAAGGTTGATCTCATGGGAGGGCTCTGAAGGCGGGGTTGAGGTTGCTCACGAGAAGATATTTACCCACTGGCTTCTCTCCGTCAAGCCTGTCTTAGGAAGACCCGACTTCCTTTTCCCTCTTCAGGAGAAGGCAGAACCTAACCTGCTGTCACCTGAGCTTTCTTCGGTAACCGCTTCCCTTCCCAGCCTCCCTACAGGCTACTTAGATGGCGTCTGAAGATACGAGTCCGAGTCAGTCACACTGGGTCTCTCCCAGCAGGAACACCCGTTACCATTCAACTTCGCTTTGGCTTTTTCTCTCATCCGCCTGTCTGATGCTTGTTTGACTATTTTCCAGCCTTGCAGAACCAAGACAAGCCGTGAGATGATTTCCTTTGTGTCCCTATAGATGACAGAGCCATGTCAGGGCCTTGCAGGGAGGAGCCAAGCACAGGCCGGAAGGTGACTGTGGCAAGGTGACAGCAGGGTGCCCCCCTTGTTTTCGAGGTTGCTGTGAAGGGGCCCAGCAACCCCAAGAACACACCTTACCTCTGCTGCCTGACCGCACCTGCAAACCATCGCTGAGCAGAGGCGCTGACCGGGGCTGACTGCAGCCACAGCGGGGGAGAGAGGAGGCACAGGGCCGGAGCCTCCCCCAGCTCCTCCGCGTCTCTAACCCAACCTTGACCGGAGTTCGGGCCTCTGTGTCGATTGCTGAACTTGAAAAGTCACTTTAAAAATGTGTCCAAACATCACAAGGTGCGGGTCGCCGGCCTCGCTGCTCCTGGCGCAGGGCCGGGGCTCCCCCGTCTCAACCGAACGGGGCCGCCTGTCCCAGAGCCGCCCAGTGGCCAGCCGGCTCCCTGGAGGCCGGGGCAGGGAGTCCTCGGGGACAGACGCAGTGGGCGCGGGCTCTACAGGGCCGTCGCCCTGCTGGGCGGGGCACGGGCGGGCGAGGCGGCTGCGGTCTCGCCTCTCTCCTCGGGCACTTCCACCCCGTTCCTCTTGGCAAAAACTCGGTTGATCTCCACAAACGTTTGGCCCTTGGTCTCCGGGATGACCACGTAGATGTAAAGGGCGGTGAGGAGGCAGATTCCAGCAAAGATGACGAAGCTGTAGGCGCCGATGGCCTCCTGGGCGAGACGAGAAGGGAGGCGGTGGGGAGAGGCAGCGCAGCCCGCAGCAGCTTCTTGACAGCCAGTTTATTTTTGTTTTACCCAGGAGGGGCGAAACGACAAGAAACTTGGGCTCCCCCACCCCTACTTGCCCAAAAGGACCCCGTAGCTCTTTGGCGTCGGGGCGTTGGGCGTTGGGGCGCGGCCGTGAGGCTGGAGGCAGCGTGGGTGCGTGCGCCTTGGAATTCGGCCCTCGCCCTGGCGCCAGCTTGCTCTCTGCTGCCTCTGAACCTGCCGCCCTGGGCCACTGCCTACTGCCAAGAGCCGCTCGCCAGCTGGGGGCGGCGGCCGTGCCGGGCCTGTCTAAGGACCCTGAACGCGTCCAGGAGCCGCCCCAGTCGCGTTAGCAGAGGCTCCGGGAGGAGGGGAGCCCCTTCCATCTTGGGGGGGCAGGGCGGGGGACCCCGCACTCACTCACTCACCTGGATGGAAGGGAACATGAAGCCCACGATGAAGTTGGTGAGCCAGTGCACAGCGCCGTCCACCATGAAGGCCGCCGGCCGGGAGGACTGCAGGAAGATCTCCGTCCTCACCACGGAGGGCACGGGGCCTGAGGCGAGAGCACAGCGCGGATGGCCACCCTCCAGGGCCAGGGGTGCAGAACACAGGCCGCCCCAGCCCCACGCCTGAAAGCGCGGTCTGCTCCAGATGGCCAAGAGAAGGGTCCTCCTCGAGGGCCCGGAGGCCACGCGGGGGTCCTCAAGGTCACACCGGGCCTCGGGTGAAAGTAGGAGGCCTGGGCAAGGCGGTCTGGTCCGGACCATTCCTGCTGGGACTGGGAACCCAGGATTCCCAGCGCCACCCACAAAGTTAGGGCAGAGGCTGAGCAGGGCAGCGGGGAGCCCTGAATTTCACATTCATCACTAAGTGGCTCGGAGGTCAGTGGTGCTCAGTCAAGGTCTGGGGAAATAAATGGGGGTTTCTAGGGAGCAGCAGGTGTTGAGTCCATGGAATGGAGGGCCTCTGCCTGGGGCCAGGGCTTCTGCAGCCCAAGGGCCGGCAGCCCTGAGGCCCTGGGGTTGGGCTCTCTGAGCGCCTGGGCTTGGGAGGAGCCGCCCCCGTGTGGTGGTCCGGGGAATAGCAGGTGCCCGAGGCGCAACATTTTTTTTTTTTTAACTAAAATTTTTTTGCCCCTAAAATCTCCCTACCTTGTGAAATTTTAAGGCCGCAGTACACCTTATTGCATTGTGTACTGTACATATATCTGCCTTAATAGCAAAAAGAATAAGATTCTCTCCCTTCGCTCAATCACTCCTGACCCGAACGGTGTTACGGCCTCCTTGCAACGCCTGGTGTCAGCGGCTGGAGACCGAAAGGAACTCAAACCCCAGGAGGGCTGCCCTAGAGATGGCAAATGTGAAACGAGCCAGTGAGGGGCGGTCTGTGTGCTAAGGGACCCTGGGGGTGGTCTCTACCCCTTCCCTGCTTTCCAGGAGACCACACTGGTCCTAGGTGGGCACTCAGTGTTTGTTGAGTGAATAAATGTGAACTAGAACCTTCAAGGAAAAGCTGGGCCAAGTGTTAAGTGGGAACAGGGGAAAGGCAGAGGGCGCATCAAGAACGTCCCTGGGCAAGGACATCCTCCGCCCAACAAAGATTTTCTGGGCAGCTACCACGTGCGGGGCCTGGGCACCTACTATGTGCTGGGGCCTGGGCACCTACTATGTGCTGGGGCCTGGGGCACCTACTATGTGCGGGGCCTGGGCACCTACTATGTGCGGGGCCTGGGCACCTACTATGTGCGGGGCCTGGGGCACCTACTATGTGCTGGGACCTGGGCACCTACTATGTGCGGGGCCCGGGAGGTTGGTAGAGGATGCGCCGCTACTCACTGGGCCCAATGGAGTGTCCCGCGATGTAGGCGAAGACGCAGATGATGCCCAGGTAAGACAGCTTAGGGACCTGGTTCTGGGGGGACAAGCAGGGCTGTCTGGCTGTGGGGCTTGGCCTGGGCCCGAGCGCTGAAGCCAGGGCCCCGCAGATGAGCCCATGGGGGGGCCCCACCTTCCTGCTGCGGGAAGGAGCCCCACCGGGTGTCAGAGCACCTAGGTGGGGTCAAGGGCTCTGTGGGCAGGGAAGCAGGGCGAGGAGGGCCGACACCTGACATTCCGCCAGCCTTACCTGTGGGGAAGCCTGATGGCAGGAGGGCCACCTGCCGTATTTACTCACTCCAGAGCGTTAACCCCCGAGTCTTCGGGACGCCCTGAGTAAGGGTACGGGCGTTTCAAGAAGCCCGAGCGCAGACCTTGAGGTCAGTCCCTCAGGATCTGCAGTGGCCAGACTTAGACCCAGCGGGGCAGACTAACCCACGGGCGCCTTCTCTGGCCCCACTGCCAGGGCGACAAGCCTCCAAACAGGTGCACATTCGGCCAGACTGAGCGGGGTGCCCTGGGCTGACTGCAGCAACGACTTCATGACCAGTAGGAAAGTGCCATGAAGGAGAAGCTGGCACGGGGCTGGTGGGGGAACCCCTGCCGCCATGACACCGGCTCCCAGCTGGAGAAGGCAGCGGAGGCTGGGTGACGGGCGGGAAGAGCGGAGGCTGGTGGGCAGAGGGGTGACGAGCTCTGTGCGCATTCCCACCCGGTGGCAGCGGGGTGGGACCGGCTGCAGGAGCCCATCCTCGAGGGAGAAGCCCTGGCAGAGGCTGGAGGGCCCGGCTGCTCCCAGGCGGCGCCGGCGGACAGGCGAGAGGACGGGACAGAACGGAAACCGCCTCCCGCGTGTCACCCCCACGTGGGACAGCGGGCCCGGCTCTCACAGCTTGAGCTGTGTCCTTTCTGTCCACTCGCAGTCATTGCCAAAGCAGCAGAGGCAGAAAGGCGTGTGGGGACAGACCAAGTCGCCCCATGGGAAGGGCGCAGGTGAGTGCAGGGAGAACGGGCCATTCGGGCCTGTCCCAAAAGCCACCGGCAGGGCCCAGTCAGTCAGCCTGGCTTAGACGCGGACCAAGAAGACAGGAAAGGGGACCCAGCCCACATGCCGAAGCGAGGGCCCCCCGGAAGACCCTGTCACCCACGTGCAAACTCCAGATAAGGCTGGTTCCTCCCTGTTGGGTCAGCTCGAGCCAAGTGCACACTCCT